TATGGTAATGAGATATTGCTGGTGCAAATTTGGCTTACACTTTGTGTGGTTTTCGTGAAGCAAATATGCCACCGTGATTTGAAGCTAGAGAACACGTTGCTCGATGGAAGCCCGGCTCCTCGCCTCAAAATTTGTGATTTTGGGTATTCTAAGGTATAGAACATTTCAATCGATAAATTGAAAGTATACCTTTATCGTCTTGTTTATTCCCCCACGAGCATTCATCTTATTTCGCCCTATCATTCGTATAGTAATTGTGCTTGTGTCACATTTGTAGTCCTCTGTGCTTCACTCACAACCAAAGTCAACTGTCGGTACCCCTGCATACATTGCTCCAGAAGTGTTACTAAAAAAGGAATATGATGGAAAGGTATTCGTTTTGTCCCTTTATCTTTTCCCGATTTGAGGTGCGGAAAAAATCGTCAATCCATTGCCCGGATAAAAACATAAAGAAATCTTTTTCTATTTGATCTTGATATTGCTTCATATGTCATTGTTATTTGTATGTAGATTGCGGATGTGTGGTCTTGTGGAGTAACTTTGTATGTCATGTTGGTTGGTGCATATCCTTTCGAGGACCCAGAAGACCCCAAAAACTTCCGAAAAACAATCCAGGTACTTAGGTTATGTTTGGTAAAGCATATAAGCTAGCTTATAACTTATTTTATTAGCTTATAAGTTTCATGTATTCAAATAAGCTTGGTTTGGTTTGGTAGGACGAGCTTTCTTAAAAAGCTAAGATTTATCAAATAAGCTTCCTTGGGTAGCTTTTCAAATAAGTTTGCTAAAATTTTTATTTCAGCTAATTTTACTAATCACTTTTATCAACTATAAGTCATATAAGCTCGAAAATCACTTATCAGCTACTTTTATCAAACATAGCCTAGTCTAAAGTCTTATTTCGGATTTATTGGCAGCGAATTTTGAATGTCCAATACTCGATCCCAGATTACGTGCACATATCTCCCGAATGCCGCCACTTGATTTCGCGAATATTCGTGGCCGACCCTGCAAAGGTCACTTCTCAAACCCTTTTCTTGGCAAGTTATACTAAGTAAATTTTGGTTTAACCGATGTGTATCTAAAGGCTAATAATAACCACGGAATGATTCTGTGACGTGACGGGACGGGACTGTAGCCATTCCCGTAAATTTTAGAAGGGTAACAAACATAAGGAAACCAATCTAGTGACTAGAAACAAAGAATCTTTGAAAAATTACATATAAATGTGTAAAATGTGAAATTTTGACATGTTAAAAAAACAGAGAATCTCGATTCCTGAAATAAAGATCCACGAGTGGTTTCGAAAGAACCTGCCAACGGACCTCACGGATGACAAGACGGGCAGCAATCAATTCGAAGAGCCCGAGCAGCCCATGCAAAGTGACGATGAAATCATGCAGATAATAACCGAGGCCACAATCCCACCTGCAGGTGCAAACAACCTTAATCAGTACTTAACCGGAAGTTTGGACATTGATGATGACATGGACGAGGATATTGAGAGTGATCCTGATCTCGATATCGACAGCAGTGGAGAAATTGTGTATGCAATGTGATCGATCGATTTTAAGTTGCTTGAGAGAATTTAAGTTATTTGTGTGTATTTTGTAAGTTACTTTTTTTTTCCCCCTAATTGTTTGTACTGGACTTCATGCNGAATGTAACTGTATTGTATATTTGTATACTATCTGCTACTCATTTGACTGATGTATAATAATTATTTTCATGTTTCCAAATTGATGGTATTATCTTAAACTCTCTTAAATTTGAAATGCTTCCAAGTGTATTTGATGGTATTTGAAGGTAATTTAGTTATCCATATAAATTAGAATCAGAAATCCTCATTTTTGAGGTTTGAGAATAAAGCTGACTAGTTCTTCTATGAAGTGAGCTTAACCAATAAGAGGTTATGACTTAACCATTAAGCTGGTAATACTTTTTTCAAGCATGCTTTCTTTATTCACATAATCACTGATCAACGTTAAGTTGTCTCATACAAAAATTTGTATAATGTGAAGAATAAAATTAAAGGTTCATTAAAAAAAATAAAAAAGTAAAAACTTCAATGCTAAGTAGTACTCCTTTGAGTTCAGTTATTACATTTTTCATAACTCAGTTTTATTTTGTCATCAACTACCTTAGCATACTTGGGTGGATGATGAAAACTACATCTTTAGCATCTTTTCTACCTCAGCAAAATATTACATCACAACAAAAATTCAGTTCTCTAAGCAAATGATATCTCGAAAAAAAGGATTCGCAGCAATTGTTCGCGCCACAATTTTTGGCTTTCTTTCACTGGTTTTCACCCACCTGAAGTAAAAAATAAAAGGCTTAAAAAAAAAGCAATTCGGAATTTATAGACATAATTTGAAATTCACAAATAATTACAAGACCTTTATTGATTTTGACAATTCGAAATACCAGGCTCAATTCGTGCCCAATATGACTTTTTTTTAACTGAGTTATTTTTCTTTCATTTTTATAGCCAAAAATAAAGTTTGACATTCGATTCGAAGAAAACTTTATGCCGGCCATGAATAATAAACACCTAATCATCCTTAAGATCATCAAACAGGCAAAAAAGCACAACATTCAACACTAAAGTACCGTTTTATTAAGGAAACAAAGGCACGGTTAGGAGCCCTGTGTTTTCTGGAATTCCCATCATCAAGTTCAGATTTTGCAATGCCTGACCTGAAGCTCCTTTCACAAGATTATCAATCTGCAGATAGTGTATCAGTCGGACAAAGAAAGAAAGAATAGTTTTCCAGCTAACAAAAAATGAGTGATAAGCACTATAAAATAGTAAATACTTACAACAGAGATAATTATTGCTCTTCCTGGGATCCTATCAGGAAATACATTTATCAAGCAGTAGTTGGATCCTCTAACGTGTCGAGTATGAGGAACCTCGTTCTTCTTTAACAAAATCACAAATTCTTCATTCTGAAACGAGAGAGAGAGAGAGAGAGAGAGAAAGAGAAAGAGAGAGAAAGAGAGCACAAAAAGGGGGATGTTAGCTGTTTAAATAAAATCATTCGAAAAAAGAACGAGTTCTTGAAATTGAGTGAGTAAAAATATATTTCCTCTGTTCCCTTAGTCCCACAAAGAAACTCTTTTTTTTCACATAAATACATAGTTCAATAAAACATCGATCATTTTGTTTGGAAAAATTAAGTTTAGTAGTGTTTTATCATGATACACCATTAAGTTAAGATCTGATACATTTTTATGGTTCTATTTTCTTCACAATGGTGCACGAAAATTGAAAACTGAACAAGAGCATAAAGAGAACATTTCAACTACTCTATTTAAAGAAACACGTCTAACTATGTTAATTCTTTTAAGAGCACAAAAACATCTGCCTTTTTACATTTATCTGCTTCATTTTCTTTTCTAGTTTTATTTTGAATATTCTTTTAGGTACTGGAATGGAAAGGTAGAAACTTTATTTTATTTTTTTATTTATTTTGAATAGCAACAAAAACTGGCAACTTACCTCATAAAAACTATGTAAATGCTCGTACAAATCCTCTGTTGATGCTCCAGGAGCCATTTCCACATATATAGTAGATTGCATACCTCGACTCTGGAAGATAAATGTTACTTAACATTCATAACTTTTTTCTTCACAAATTTGAGGGCAGCTATATTACCATTGGCATTAAATGCGGGGTGAAGCTGACAGTAACTTTCGATTTTGCAGCCTCTGATAAACCCTGTTCGATTTCAGGCACTGAAATTCGCCGTTGAAAACCAGGTTCAAATTAATAGTCGGTTAAAAAAATATTACAATCCATTACAAATAAAAAACAAAAAAAGGTTAATCACGAGGAAAATACGTTGTTGAGGTATATAGCCTAACTACAAAAATACACCCTTTGGCCTTGTTTTAAATTTTACCATCCTTGAAAAATAAGAAAGAGGTAAATTACTACTTTTTAGCCCCATAGAAAGAAAGTTGGTTCTTTAGCGAATTCGATAACTAACCGTGACGATGCCTTGTGACACCATAAGAATGTATTCCTTCAGATATCTCAGTGTACAAATTTGCCTCTTTAGCCCCACGCCCTGCAAGCATAATAAGTTCCACATTTAATCAGCTACCAATGGTAATTAAGAATTAAATTAGCACTAAAGGCTGTGAAAAATTATTTAAAACCTGCTCCACTAACACCGGATTTCGAGTCGATAATAATATTCTTAACTTCGATGAGATTGGCCTGTGAGCAAATGAGTGAAAATGGGACAGAGAACAGAACCAGGGAAAATTATTCAAATATATGTGTTGTTTGTAATTAATTTCATCAGTTAAATTAATTAAACACCCACTTAATGACATTGTTAAATAACTCCATTAAGTAACTACGTTATGTAGTTTGGAGTTAATCCATTGAATTTGTCTCTTCGGGAGACAACTATATAAGTAGATGCTTTGTGCATCTTAAAGTGTGGAGAAAAAAAAAAAGAACAAAGCAACACAAATACTATAAGTCTTTATTTAGTGCATATTCTCTTGTTGAGCCGAAACCATCACAAGGCGGCTCGGGTTTTAGAGCGTGGAGGATACCGACGACTCTAGTAGCCGTCGGATAAAAGATACGGGCAAGTTTTTCGCTTCCGCTACATAAAGGTTAGTCCTATATATCTTTATATATGTGTTATATAAAACCACTAACAGTGGTATCAGAGACTGTTTATTCCTCCGGCGCATTTTTTTTTTAAAAGAATATGTTTATGTATTTGTTACATAAAATTCATTCTCTTTTAACTATGTGTTAAATATAGAATGAGTGTCATTCATGAATTTGTGATCATGCAAATGACATAAAAAAAAAATAATAATAATAATTAAGATGGAGGAATAATTAGGTTTTGTGGCCTAATTAATATATAAACAAAGAATAAAAATTATTATTATTATTCTTTGGTTAATAATAATATTTGTTATTATTATTGTTTTTTAAATATTTATATGGTATTCATGTTTACCATTAAAAAAAAAATCTTTTTGAAATTGTCATAATATTTGTTATTATGATGAAAAGAATAAATCAATATTTTTGTAGTATTGTGTCTGCTTCTTGTTATTTAAATTATTTAAGTGATATTTAAATAATTATTTAATATGATACATGAATATACGTTATTCATGTTATGAAACTTAAATATCTTTGTGATGTTTATATTTATTCAATATGATACATGAATATATGTTATTCATGTTATGAGACTTAAACATCTTTGTGATGTTTATATTTGTGTTTATTTGTTAAACAATAACAGGAATAAATGAATATGTTTCATTAGAATAAAGTTAATTAAATTATATTTATTTTTGTTTGTGTTATTTGTGATGATTATAAGCTTGGCGAAATTTTCGAACTCATGGCATAAACAAAAATAAAAGTGATAATTTAATTATATTGCCCTCACGCCTAATATCCATTTTATATACTTGTAGATGACAACTAAATCTATGATTGGAGATTTGTCCTCCAACGAAAAGCTAGATGGTACCAATTACGACATCTGGCATAGGAAGATTCAGTATCTTCTTAATGAACGCGAGGTTTTGGAAACCTTGTCAACTACTGTGATTGAGCCAAAGGATACTGCTAGTGCGCAGTACAAGGAAGAATTGACAACCTATCAAACATGGTCCAAAAAGGATCGGTCTGCACGCTATACTATGTTGTATTGCATGCATAATGATCTTATTGGAGAGTTTGAGAATTGTTCCACTGCTAAAGACATGTGGGACAAGCTTAAGGTCACCTTCGGGCAAACTTCGGCTACTAGGCTCCGTGCCTTGAACTTAAAGTGGATGGATTACAATATGGATCCTAAGCACTTTGTTGCCGAACATTTGCGTGTCATGAGTGCCATGATACGTGACCTAAAAGCTGCGGGACGAGATGTATCTGATGAGGAGCAAGTTCTAAATGTAGTTCGTTCACTTCCAAATGATTCTGAGAATTGGAAGAACTTCAAGCTCCTCATGGCTCATAGCGAGAACGTAAAAACTTTTTCAGAACTCGCTAAACATATTGAGATGGAAGTAGAACGTCAGAGGACGTTAGCACCTTCCAATGTTGCATTTGTTGCCCATGGTGGTCAAGCCAAAGGAAATAAACGCAAACGAGCCAAGAAATTTTCCCGTCTTTCTCAAAATTTTGGATCAAATGGTGGTTCAAAGAAACAACATATGGCACATGGCCAAAGGGAGAAGAAAATAGCGCGTGTGAAGTGCTATAATTGTGGACAGAAAGGTCATTTCGCTCGTGATTGTGCTGAGCCGAAAAAGGTACCTTCTACCACTAATTCTTTTGAACTATATGTTTGTTCTCATGCATTAGTTGCTAATTCTATTCCTAATTGGATTATAGATACGGGAGCAAGCAAGCACATAGTTCGTGAAAGATCAGGATTTGTGGAATTCCACCGGTTTTCTATTGGCACTCAAACTGTCATGTTAGGGAACGGGAGCGAGGAAGATGTCCTTGGGGTTGGAACATACCAACTTAAACTCCATGGTGGAAATACACTACTCCTGCATGATACTCTCTATGCACCCGGGGTGCGAAGTTGTTTACTTTCAGTTGTTTCCTTGTTAAAACTTGGTTTTTCCTTTAATTTCAATACTGGTGGTTTGGACATTTTATATCATGGCAATTTATTTGGACGTGGTATTTTAAAGAATGGTTTCTTTGTTCTTGACTTGGATGAAAGTTATAATGACTCATCATATGCTTTTGTTTCATTTTATAATATTGATTCTGAATCTGTTAAATGGCATGCGCGACTTGGTCATATTGGTCAAGATAGAATGTCCAGGCTAACTAAAGAGGGACATTTGGGACAATTGACTAAGGTTAAATTGCCTAAATGCGAACCTTGTCTAGCCGGAAAAGCTACTAAAAAGTCTTTTGGTAAGGCATCAAGAGCATCAAATCCTTTAGAGCTGATTCATTCTGATATTTGTTGGCCTTTAAATATAAAAGCTCGTCATGGGGCTACATATTTTATTACCTTTATTGATGACTATTCACGTTTTGGGTATGTGTACCTATTATCCCATCGACACGAAGCACTTGATACATTCAAATGTTTCGTGGCCGAAGTTGAAAATCAAAAGGAACGAATAATTAAGACTCTTCGTACTGACATGGGACGTGAATACCTCTCTGATATGTTCAAAGAGTTTTGTGAGACTAAAGGTATTTCAAGGCAACTTACGGTTCCATATACTCCGCAACAAAATGGTGTTGCTGAAAGAAAAAATCGTACATTACTAGACATGGTTAGGTCAATGATGGCGCAAGCCAATCTCCCTATTAAATTTTGGGGAGATGCGTTGCTTACGGCAACATACATCCTTAATCGTGTACCGAGTAAAAGTGTGTCACTCACTCCATATGAGTTGTGGAATGGGAAACCACCTATTTTGGACCATTTACGCCCTTGGGGTTCGGCTGGCTATGTGCATAACCAAACTCACAAGTATGGAAAGCTTGGTCCAAGAGCTACCAAAATGGTGTTCATTAGATACCCTGAACATTCAAAAGGGTATGTTATGTTTGGTGAACATCCAGATGGTGGCATGACTGAGTTGGACTCACGCAATGTCGATTTTCTTGAGGATGAGTTCTCAAGTATTGATGAAATTAAGAAAAACCTTCAGTTGTATGAGTTACAACAAGAAATGCAATTATCTTTAGGAGATGGGGGGGATATGTTACCTCTAGTGGTCTCCAAAGATAATGAAGTTCTTCTAAATTCCATTGGTGAAATGCAAATATCTTTAGGAGATGAGGGGGATATGTTACTTCAACAGGTCTCCAAAGATAATGAAGTTCTTCTAAATTCCACTAGTGAAAAACAAACTCAAAATGAGGATGAGCCTCATAGAGTAGAGCATGAGATAAGTTATCATGCTCATAGCCCCATGCCTCTTGAGGACAGTGGGAGAAATTTTTCAGCTAGTTTGGAAAATAATGAAAGTCCTACTTTGAGAAGGGGTGATCGTGGAAGAATTCCTCGTCGATTTTTTCAAATTGAGGAGGATGTATTTCTTTGTACTCCTTTAGAAGTAGATGAACCGAACTCTTATAAAGAGGCAATGAATTCACCATATAATTCAGAATGGAAATATGCAATGAATGATGAGATGGACTCAATGATTAAAAATAATGTCTGGGAACTTGTTGACCTTCCACCTCATCGTCGATCAATTGGATGTAAGTGGATATTCAAAATCAAGCGTGGGGTGGATGGATCAATAGAAAAGTTCAAAGCTCATTTAGTAGCGAAGGTTTTACCCAAATTGAAGGTATAGATTACGATGAGACATTTTCTCCTGTGGTGAGATTTGCCTCTATTCGTCTTCTTCTGGCCCTGGTTGCCCATTTGGATTTAGAATTATTTCAAATGGACATAAAAACAGCATTCCTCAATGGTTCTCTTGAGGAATAGATATATATGGATCAACCTATTGGGTTTGTCCCAAAAGGGCAAGACAATAAAGTTTGTCGCCTCAAAAGATCCATATATGGTCTCAAGCAGTCTTCCAGACGATGGTATCTCAAATTCCATGAAGCCATTTGTGCATTTGGTTTGACCATGGTTGATGAGGATCATTGTGTGTATGTCAAGAAAAGTGAAGAAGGAATTTTGTTTCTTTCTCTATACGTTGATGACATATTGTTGGCTGGAAACGACATGGGAATGATGAACGACACTAAGCTGTGGTTGTCCTCTAATTTCGAAATGAATGACATGGGTGAAGCTAGGTATGTCCTAGGAGTGGAAATAATGAGAAATCGTCCTAAGAAACTTCTTGGTTTGTCTCAAGAAACCTATATTAAAAGAATCTTAGAACATTTTCGAATGCATTATTCCAAACCCGTTGATACCCCAGTCGAAAAGGGTTTAACCTTAAGTCTTGACCAATGTCCGTAAACAGATGAAGAAAAACATAAAATGAACAATGTTACATATGCTAGTGCAGTAGGAAGCTTGATGTATGCTATGTTATGTACACGGCCAGACATCTGCTTCGCAGTTGGCTTGGTAAGTCGTTACCAAAGCAACCCTGGGCCTGTACATTGGCCAGCTGTCAAGAGAATCTTGCGGTACCTGCGTGGTACAAGTGACTTGGTACTTTGCTATCAAGGTGGGTCCTTGAAATTAAAAGGATACTCGGATGCTGATTGGGGTGGTGATCTGGATGAGTCAAAGTCAACTTCGGGATATGCCTTTATATTTGGTGGAGGTGCAATATCCTGGTGCAGTAAAAAGCAAGATTGCATTTCACTTTCGACTATGGAAGCTGAGTATGTTTCCAGTTGCATTGTCATTCAAGAGGCAATATGGTTGAGGAATTTTCTACAAGATCTCAACCTCACCCCAAAGGTTGATGAACCTGTAGAAATGCATTGTGATAATACTGCTGCTATCCAGTATGCCCAGGACCCGAAGTTTCACAGAAAAACCAAGCATATCAAAAGGCGTTATCATTTTGTACGAGACGCAATAAAAAATAAAGAAGTTGTCATTAAGTATATACCCACAAATAAAATGATAGTTGATCCTTTAACTAAACCTATACGCAGAGATGTTTTCCAAACTCATGTGAAGAGTCTTGGTTTGCGTAGGTTTTAATTTTATTTTTGTGGGATAATGGATGTGTATAATGTTACACCGAACATATATGAAATTTGTTGTTCTTTGATATGTTCTTTAGCATATGTTGCATAAGTAGGCATGAGTAAAGATGTCACCAGGATTTTGATTACGCTTATCACACAGGTAATCGCCCTATCACATTAGTTGTGAGTAATAGGATGAGACTATGTCATATTCATATTATGTAATATGAACTGTATTTATACATTTGTTGTATAAATATATTTTTCGGTCGCCTTAGTAAGTCTAAGATGAGACTCTATCGAGTCGAATATGAAATAGTCTTGATTTCATATCAAAGCCTTGAAGCCGTATCTCGAGTGAAAGATAAATTATTAAGTATATTTATCAAGTGGCTCGGGTTAAATACTTGAGTAGTATCTAGACTACAGATTCGTATAACATAGTAGGTGACATGCCCATCATAGTGGGAGCTATGTTATGACACGTATATCATACTGCGTGTGCTTTTGAACGACCGTTAAGGATTGACAAATGATTCCCTACTTTGTCAAGGTGTGAATCCTATGGATTTTGTTGTCCAACTTTGTACGAAGCCTTTTGACTTAGAACTATGTTATAAAATTGAGACTTAGTGTTGCTACTTTAATATGTCCTCCAAGAGCTATGATCGATACAGTTCGACGGAGCATGTTAGGAAAGCAACTAAGTTGAGATGAAGTTTCATTAGTGTCTAAGAAATAACTTATTCAACTTCACCACATTAGCCCGAGCGGTTATATTTGAATATAACCATGTTGTGTATATAGCATATAGGGGCAGTGTATGCTATTGGTGATTTTTGAACAGTTAGAGGTTTTCGTAAGTATGAAAGTGTTGTATTAGTTAGATGGTGACTTAATATAATGTTGTTATTATTGCATTTGGTCGCACGCTCTATTACCCGTATGAGGCAAGAGATTTGCTAGTAAAGATGTTAGTTATAGTCTCGGCTTAAGTGGCTGAGTGGGAGTGTTGTTTGTAATTAATTTCATCAGTTAAATTAATTAAACACCCACTTAATGACATTGTTAAATAACTCCATTAAGTAACTACGTTATGTAGTTTGGAGTTAATTCTCCATTTAATTTGTCTCTTCGGGAGACAACTATATAAGTAGATGCTTTGTGCATCTTAAAGTGTGGAGAAAAAAAAAAAAGAACAAAGCAACACAAATACTATAAGTCTTTATTTAGTGCATATTCTCTTGTTGAGCCGAAACCATCACAAGGCGGCTCGGGTTTTAGAGCGTGGAGGATACCGACGACTCTAGTAGCCGTCGGATAGAAGATACGGGCAAGTTTTTCGCTTCCGCTACATAAAGGTTAGTCCTATATATATTTATATATGTGTTATATAAAACCACTAACAATATGCACAAAGCTTGTGTTTTGAAACTCTCCATTATGCATACAGATTCCAAAAAAATAAAAGAACGATATAAAAAGACCAACCTTTATTAATGGAATAAGAGGAAGCTGAACAGAAGTCGGATAACAGCCAGGATTTGCAATTAAGCGTGCACTTTGAATCTCGGGCCTGGATATCTCGGTTAGCCCATAAACAGTTTCCTTCTGAAAATTTACCAGCATTAAAAAAAAAAAAAAGATAAAGTGCAGCAAAATCAGGAGTGTGTTTTTAGTCCTAAATCATGATTTTTGACAGATCAAGAAATGAAACCAAATAAAACCATGTTTGAAGTTTATTAACAAGTTGGACAAGAAAAACTCGAACCTGTAATTCTTGGGCCTTGTGAGGCTGACCATACCATTCCTCATATTCCCCAACATCTCGGAGCCGAAAATCCTACAAAACCATCATTTATAAATGGAAGATCAGTCAAGCAAAAATTGCCACAAGATAAAAGCAAGATAGCAAGTTTGTAATTGAATTAATAAATAAAAAATATAAAGATAAATACCGCGGATAAATCAACTATCTTCAGACTTCTGGGGAGGCCTTTGACAATGTCCTGCAAACAAGAAGCATTGCTTGAAAATACAATGGGCAACAACTGTCAACCTATATAACAGTCGAACTAGAAGGAAAAATGAAATTGGAAGTAAAAGAAAATAAACACAAATTTAGGATTTAGTTCTACTAAGAATGGTGGTGAATTGGGAGGAAAACAAAAAAGAAAAAAAAAAGAAAAAAAAAAAAGACCTGAGTTGTCCCATGGGGCAAGCAACAGAACACAGCATCCACATTTGAAAAATCAGCATCTTTGATAGCAATCAAATCGGGCAAATCCTGAAAGTTAACCTCACATTTGATCAAAAGTTTTCAATACGATAAGTGAACTCACAAGTACAATGAACAAACACGGAAAATATAACAAATAAAAACACATTAAGCGTACTTGCTTGACTAAATGAGGAAAGACTGTTCCAATCGATTGGCCAGCTTTCCTATCCGCCGTCATCAGAGTTATTTTAAAGCTGGGATGAGCTGCGAGCAACCTAATTATCTAAACCCAAGAACAACGACAACAAGAAAAAGAAAAAGAAAAAACAGCATTTAAAGCTATATATCTAAGGAAGACAATATACATATGAGAAAAACATATAGAAAACAACACAGCTGCAAAAAGCTGCATAATACCTCAGAGCCCGTGTAGCCACTGGCCCCAAGAACCCCAATTCGCTGTTTTTCGAATCTCTGGGCATTAGATTCTTCTGCATGTGAGCTCTGTGGTACCGATTTTATAATAGAAGCTCGAGTGAAGACCCGTTTGGCGTTTGAATTCTTGATTGCGTCCTACAAAATTTAGTTGATTGAGCATCAAATTTACATCATTTCAAGAACTGCACGAAGCCCATATTGCTGAAATCTAACAAAGTTGCCAACTTTAATCGTTTTGAGAGCACTAACCCGCATTATTCATCGCTAAACCTAAAACCCACCAACCAAATGCTCAAACAATTCTCAACAAATACCGAATTACAAAGAAAATTGCGGGAAAGAGACAGAAAGCGTAAGTAGAGTCGCGCATTTGGAAGAAATTACCTGACTTTTGATAAAGCCGCTCCGATCGATGCATATGGAATTTAAAGAGGATAAAGAAGCCATTTTTTTTCAGTACCCTTTTGGTCCTTGAGGAAATAATCAAAGGAAAAGGCCTGAAAATTCGAAGCTGGTGGCTGTAAACGGCGCAAATACTTACGTGCACCTAGGTACACCTTGCTAGGTGTACCAAGGGAGAGAATGAATGCACTTAAAAAAAAGGAGCGTGGCCTTAAAATGAAAATCATGTCCAAATCCTTTCCAACGCGCAGAGAGAGAGAGAGAAGAAAAATGCGGTAAAAAGTAGAGCTTCCTTCCGCCAAAATTGGGCTCATTTATCAAGGCAAAAAATCCTCTTTCACTCCATATTTTCTCTCCTGAAGGCAATTGTCGATTTTATCTTCTGCAAAACTGAATTTTCCGATGGTGATATTACAAGATGTAGACGCATCCCCTAGGTTTTGTAATATTGAAAATGAACATGTTCATTTTAATCTGGAGAATGAACATGTTCATTTTGGAGATGGAAGTGTAGTTGGGTCTTCCAATCTGGAAAAAAGTGTAATTGGGTCTTGCAATCCGGAAACAATTTCTTTATTTGAGGATGAACATGTTGATTGTAATGAAACTGCGGTAATATCGCTTGATGAAGATGATGAACATGTTCATTTTAATCTGGGGGATGAACATGTTCATATTGGAGATGGAAGTGTAGTTGGGTCTTCCAATCTGGAAAAAAGTGTAGTTGGGTCTTGCAATCCGGAAATAATTTATTTATTTGAGGATGAACATGTTGATTGTAATGAAACCGCGGTAATATCGCTTGATGATGACGATGAACATGTTGATTGTAATGAAACCGCGGTAATATCCATTGATGAAGCCAATGGTGAAGGCGAAGGTAATTCAGAAACCATGTTCATTCTACAATCAAATATGTTCATTTCATAATGAAAGATACTCATAAACACATGTTCATTGTTGTATATAAACATGTTCATTTTATTTTGTAGAAAAAGTTCATTTTGGTTTTAAACATGTTCATTTCATTTTGTTTTCACACATGTTCATTTTTTATATAATTATGTTCATTTCTGTATTAAACATGTTCATATATTAAATAGGTGTTTATTCTCTTTGTTTTGGAAAAGTTCGATATGGAATGCATACATGTTCATTTCTTAACTCAACATATTCATTTCTTACCGGAACATATTCATATTTTTGTAGAGATCGATGATGAAAAATTGCTTGGGATGAAATTTAATTCCTTGGAAGATGCTTATGAATTCTACAATTCATATGCGAAGAGACATGGTTTTGGAGTTAGAAAATTCAGGTCAAGAAAGAAGAAGGATAATAATGTATATTGGAAACAATTTTGTTGCAATAAGCAAGGGTTTAAAAGCAAAGTGGACAAAGAGAGGAGTTATACAAAATTGGAAACGCGGGTTGGTTGCAAGGCAATGATTCAACTTCTTTTTGATGGTGCTAATTGGATAGTGGAGCAAGAAGTGGATCAACACAACCATGAGTTAGTTCCATGCAATCAAGCCCGCTATTTTCGCTCTCACAGGGATATGCCTTCGAATGATGTAGCATATTTGTCACAATTAAAAGCTAGTGGAGTTGGTGTTACCGTTGGTTATAGGGTTCTTTCGGATCAAGCTCGTGGTGTTCAAAATATGCCCTATACAATAGTTGATGCCCGTAACCACGTTGCAAAGCTTGAACGGAGAATTTGGGAAGGCGGTGATGCAAATGGCCTACTTAATATATTGAAAGAAAGACAGGCCCGGGAAGATGGATTTTATTTTAATTATGATCTGAATAAGGATACAGCATCATTGTGTTCCATTTTTTGGAGGGATTCTCGCATGAGGAAGGATTATGAGGTGTTTGGTGATTTAGTTGTATTTGATACTACTCATAGGACAGTTAAGTACAATCTTGCATGTGCTCCATTTACAGGGATGAACCATCACAAGAGAAACATTATGTTTGGTGTTGGTTTTTTGCTTCATGAGGACAAGGATTCATTTCAGTGGTTGTTGGATGAATTTCTGAAGTCAATGGGTGGGAAGCAGCCTGCCACAATAATGACCGATGAAGATGCAGCCATGGCAGCTGCAATTCCATTGGTGTTAACGCAATCCCGACATCGCTTATGCACCTGGCATATTGACGAGAATTCAAAAAAGCACATTCAGTATCTTCGGATAATGCCCGGTTTCATCAATCTTTTTCATTTGGTTTTGAGATCAACGGACACAATACCGGAATTCGATTTTTATTGGAAAAAGTGAGTTATTCAATTTATATTTGAACACGTTCATTCTACAATTAAACATGTTCATTTCATAATGAAACATGATCATTTCTCCTTGTAACTTGTTCATGATAATAATTTTTGTAGATAAAATTAATTTTCGTATAAAAACATGTTCATTTATTTATCAAACATGTTCAAATCATACTGAAACATTGTCATATATTAAATAGGTGCTTATTCTGTGTTTTAGAAAAATTCAAAGAACATGTCAAATAGATGTAGACATGTTCATTAGAAAACTGAACTTGTTCATTTTTTAATGACACATATTCATATCATACTGTAACATGTTCATGATTTTATTTTTGTAGAAAAAGTTCATTTTGTTTTAAACATGTTCACTTTGTATACAAAAATATTCATTTAGTTATTAAACATGTTCACTTTGTATAAATCAATACTCATTTAGTTATTAAACATATTCATTTTGTATATGAACATATTCCTCTAGTATACGAACATGTTCATTAGAAACGCTCATTTTTTATACGAACATGTTCAGTATACAATTACACATATTCATTTCATACTGTAACATTGTTCTTGATACTTCAGTATGTGTGATACATACAATTGCGCTGATGATAAATGGCTGAAGCGGTTGTATTCAAATCGTCACAAATGGTGTCCAGCCTTTAACAAAACTCATTTCTCTGGTGGTATATTGTCATCCCAAAGGAGTGAATCAACAAACAACTCAATTTCGGCGAAACTTCCCAAGACTGCTCGATTGTGTGGCTTTTATTCTCATTTTGTCAAAGTTCTTGAGGAGTGGAGAGAGAAGGAGAATAAAGATGACTTTCGGTGCAACAATGGCCGTGTAGAATGTCAATTCCCTGATAATTCCCTACTCCTTAATGTTCGTGAGTTGTACACAATTGAAGCATATATTCATTTTGAGCAACTGTATATAGCTGCAATTTCGTGCAAGATGGAAGTCATTGGAGCACCACAAAGCATTGGAATTGGAAATAATGGGAATGTTGTTTTATGCTATGTTCAAAGGGCAAATGTGGATGTGTTCAAGCACCAAGTAAATTTCAACTTAACTTCTCGTGAGGTTAGGTGTTCATGTGATTTGTTTTCGGAGGTTGGTTTCCTTTGCTGCCACTGTCTTAGGGTGTACATCGTTTTTAATGTCGAAAGAGTTCCGGATATGTATGTACATCCAAGGTGGCGTCGGAATGCCAATTTGAATTGTCGTTTAGACTTGGAGGGAACCCAATATTCTGCGGGTTACCATGTGCCAGGTACATATTCATTATACAATAGAACTTGATCATTTTGTATTGAAACATGTTCGTGCCTTACTGAAACATGTGCATGATATTCATAATACAATAGAACATGTTCATTTAGTATTGAACACATGTTCATTACTGAATCAAATATGTTCATTTCAGGTGCATGCCTTTGGAGATCCGACAAAATATGCCAGTTTCTGAAGATTGTTTCATCGAGTGAAATGGATCAAAATGCCAAAGATATTGTTGATGAATGTTTGAGATCCATGTCTGATCGGATAGAGTCTCATTTTTCTTCATTAGCTACAGATGAACCGTCTTGTACCGCGAAATCTTCTGCCGCGAATGTTAACGATCCAGAGAAATTGAGGCCTAGAGGAGAACGAAACATTCGACGGAAAAGTACTGTGGAGAAAATTTCAAGACAATCAAAGGGGAAGCACAAGAAACGAGCTTCATTGAGGAATAGGAACACCATGTTTAACCGGGTCTTTTCTACAAACCCTGAATTTGTTGGACGGTTTGTGCATCCTTTTCCTCCTAACCAAGATTCTCAAGATGATCCTAGAGGCTCTGGATACAATCCTCCGGTCATGAACATGGCCTCTCAAGATACCTTTTGTTTTCTATGAACATGTTTTGTTTTCATATGAACATGTGTCTTTTGCAACATGCACATGTGTATTAACCCGATGAACATGTTGATTTTGCACATGTTGTATGTTGATTTTGTAAGTAATGTGTTTCTTAACTCGATGCATTTGTTTATTTATAAAATAAACATTTCAAATTATAAGATGAATATGTTAGGTTATGAGATGATTATGTTTATTAGCGCGATGAATATGTTGATATTCTATGAAGAAATATGTTAATTAACATAATGAATATGTTTATTTGTAAAATGAACATGTCAACTAGACTCTACTATAATTTGACTCGATTATACTAAGTTTGACTAGATTATACTAGAATTTGACTTAATTATACTAAGTTTGACTAGATTATACTAGAATCCACTTGAATATACTATAATTTGACTCGATTATACCAGAATTCACTTGAATATACGATAATTTGACTTGATTATATTAAGTTTGACTAAATTATACTAGAATTTACTTGAATATACTATAATTTGACTCAATTATATTAAGTTTGACTAGATTATACAAGAATTTGACTCAATTATACTAAGTTTGACTAGATTATACTAGAATTCACTTGAATATACTATAATTTGTCTCGATTATACTAAGTTTGATTAGATTATACTAGAATTCACTTGAAAATAATATAATTTGACTCTATTATACTAAGTTTGACTAGATTATACTAGAATTTACTTGAATATACTATAATTTGACTCGACTATACTAAGTTTGACTAGATTATACTAGAATTCACTTGAATATACTATAATTTGACTCGACTATACTAAGTTTGACTAGATTATACTAAGTTTGACTCAGTTATACTTAGTAAAATGGATACGTTTCTTGGTAAAATGAATATGTTATTTTGTAAAATGAATACGTTACTTGGTAAAATGCACATGTTTATTTGAAAAATGAATATACTATAATTTGACTCGATTATACTAGAATTCACTTGAATATAC